TTTAATACCCTGTGCAATCTTGCAACGCCGCACCAACCGTGCAACGACGGAAGTAACTCTTCACCTCACAGCACACATCCCCAAGAAGAATCCTTGGCACAGGCACACTGATCCCCACCTAAACAACCCAAAGAAAAACATGCAGTAAAACCTGCCACTGCAGCACCAAAGCCATCGTCAGCGTGCGTTCATTTTTCCATATATGAAAAGCAATGAAATAAAAGCAAAAACGAGAACACAACATGGGCTCTCAGAAAGAGAGAGAGAAAAAAGGGAACTCGTTCTTTTATTGACCGTTTTTTTTTCTCTCTTTCTGAGATCCCATGTTGTGAGCCACACGCATCAGAAAATGTATCCATTGCAGGAAACCAAAACGAGCCCGATCATAGAAATTATATTTCTCCCTTCCTCACAAATCATCATTACACAGTCTGAATGAAATAGGGGGCTTTTCTACCCGGACGACAAACCCGCAGGCTGCCGAACAGGGAAAGGGCACCCATTCGTGTTGCCACTCTTTTCTGTTATTGATATTGTGAAATGAAGCTCATATTTCAAGAAGAAAGTAAATGAGCAAATAATAATAATAACATTTCCATCTCCTCTCCGCAGGTGACCCATGATGCGTTGAAACGGCGTAAACAGCGGCAAGGCAATCGTGAAACTGCCCTCTTTGAATGGCAGGCACAATGCTATATCAGCTATTCGCCCTACCACGAGTATTTCTCCCGACAGTAATCCCGCAGACCTCGTCGCACATGGGACAGCGAATCCGTTGGAGCCTAGTTGAATTGCCCGTTCTGATATATTCGCCCTCGGTGCAATCGTCGTTACCCTTGTACCCGCACCTGCACCATGACGCCGTCGCAGTTCACCTCGGCACACACCCCACTCACCGGTATCTCCGTTTGAGAATTCCTGATGCTCGGCATATAGAACGGTTCCACATGCAGGCACATCGAGCGAGTGCCAGTACGGAAGCCGGGAACGAACGTGGCGGCCTCAATGCAGCATATGCTCTTACAAAACTACCTGCCAGTATACGCATGGAAGGGAGTAATCATTGAGCAGTTGTTCCCCGCCTCCATCCCAAGCTTCTCAGACTCCTTGCTGCAGAGTCCAACGAAGGAGCGATCAGATTGCAGATCCACCGATAACCACATTTGCTGCACGAAGATGTGGGGATAATTCAGACTGCTCTCACTGTTGCACGTGTCCCCCCCCCCCCCAAAAAAAAAAAAAACACACACACAGTTAGAAGCACTGCCCCAGCTCGTCAGCTTCGCCATGTTTCATCCAATATTCGCACGGTAGTACTCCATATATTCAAAAACTGACGGCGTCAGTGTGTAGCGACCACCCGTGAAAGAAGACCACAGGCCCATCAGCTCGCCCCTCGCAAAGTCGAGTGAAAAGCGTAATGCCACACGTCCCTCTTTCAACTCCTCTAGCGCCACACCGGGGAAGTCCTTGCAGCCGTAGTGGTGCCGCCCCGTCTCCATTGCCTTGTTAGAGATTATCACGGTGGCACCCCTCTTGCCACGCACGTGCCGCTTAGGCAGCACCCCCAGACGCATCATCCGCTCCTGGACAAGTCCAAGGGTATGCACAGCACGGCGAACGTTGAACGACAGTGTACGCCTGCATTGAGCCCTGTTCCGCATCACCAGCTGGTCAAAATATGGGTCGTGCTTCAGAGCAGCGCGGCGGCAAGACACGTGCTGGCGCAACACAAGAGCACCACCGCCGACTGCATGATTGCAATGTAGATTCGAGCGCACATGATGTCGATAAAAAGTCTGGGACTGTCGTAGAATAATAGCCTACTTGAGACATCGCAAGAAATGCAGATAAAAGACAAGAAAAAAAGAACAGACACGAATTTAGTTTAGTTTACTTTAGTTTAGTTTTTTTTTTTTGTTCCTTCTTAAGTAGTACAGAGCGGTGTTCCTCACGGAAGTGTCACAATCAACACATGGTCCCCAAGCTCGTGGAGGAAAACAGAAAGTGAGTAAGAGGGAGACACGATGCTTCACGGCCAGCAGTGTATATATACAACTGTGAATAGGTGAAGGTACTTGTGTATGCCCTTTTATGCGGAGGCGGACAAAGAAAGAAATACATTCGGTAAAGGTGAATGTGGAGCAAATGGCAAACAGAATGAAGAAAGAGTGAAAGAGAGAGCTGTACACTTTTGTATTACGTCTATTATGCACTGCTGCATTACAAGGTCCAGTAAACCTTTCCAGTGGCGGATATGGCGGATATGGCGTGTAGAGCATTGAGTACTTTTCCCTGCTGAGCTGTAACATCGAGTACACTGAGAACACCCGCTTCAGAAGAGACGCCCCCTGCCTCGTGCATTGATGCAAGCGCACGGAGGGCGGCAACCCACGAACAATGTTTTGTGATCCCAAGCACATTGTCATACATCGCAGACGGAAGCTGCACCCCGCGGCTATGAGCCCGTTCCATCCAGAAATAATGCACTTTTCCAGTGATCAGCGAGGACAGAAAACTCGATGCAAGGATTAATTTCTGCCGCGGTAACGGCAGCACAGTTAGAAAACCACACCGTCATTGCTTGAGACGCCAGTAATCACCTTCCCTGCTGTGCCACGTAGAAGGGCAATGGCGGAAGAGCACCAAATTGCTTGCGCACAGCCATAGATGCCATGAAATGAGCAGCGATTTTTTAGTGCCCTGCTTGCTTGGTGAGGGTTCGAGCCAAGACGCAAGCATCATTCTCTCTTATCGGAAGAGGGCCAACATATTCTTGTAGCTTCTCCCCCACATGGGAAGGAAGCAGCGCTGGATCCTGCGCCATGTGAATCTTCCGCAGCGAGTTAAGATTCATCATGCTGGGTTTCTTGCAATAAAGTTGAGTCGCCAAGTCAACGACGTTGCCTGAAATAAGTGGTGAATTCTTCACATTGTTCATGGGCGTCTTGAGCCAACGTGTCGCCAGTTCTCTACTGCGTGGGGTACGAAGGCACCTCAGCAATACATCCACCGTGGACACTGGCTCGCGCGCCAACAAGTGTGCGTAACACTCCTGTAGCCGTTCCGCCTGACGGTCAGCAAACCAGAGGAAGAATTACATGATAGAGAAACTGTAATAGTGGTCTTTTCCCAGACCCCACCCCATCCCACCACCGAATTCATCCACACTACTACTCTTGTAATTCGTATTGCGCATGACATTCGCTATAAGTTGTGTAATTCGTGACTGATGTTCTTGCTGCATATATTCACTGTTTAGCTGTAAAGCTTCTTTCCAGTTATATTGAGCATTCACGGTCAGGCAGCACATATAAGACTGCTGGAGTCCATTCGGCATGGAAGGGCCTCACGGCTTGATAGAGCGCCAGACTACTTTGCTCAACGTGCCTACAAGCATCAAATAAGGCCACTAGTACCTCATCTGAGACAAGAAACTCCTTTGCATGTGCCAGATAACACTGCACCGCTCGCTGCTTTTCCCCAGCCAGGAGGAGCGTCCGTACCGCCGCCTCCACATTCCTCTTGGTAAGGTATGCGTAGTGACTACCTCTTCTTGCACCTTCTGTCACGCTCAACGCTGCCTCCCAGAGACCCTCCTGCTCCATAGACTCATACAGGCGAGAAACCTCCGCCAGCGAGTAACTATGAAGAGATTCCATCAGTTCCATCTCGGAGTATTGAAGAAGATCTCGCACAGACGGACGACTTTGCTTCACCTCATGAAAGTGGCGATGTGATACGCATGAGTACTCGTGCACGACGTCCCCCGTGAACTTTCCAGCTATACCGCTAGCGACAAGTGTCTCAGTTTCCACAGAAGCGGCAGACGTTGCTCCGCCAACATCTTTGCCTGGAAGCAACGCGCATGGTGTTGTACAGTTGTGAGTAGCCGCCTCCGCCCTCCGCGCCGCGTAGGTGTCATCGTCTGTCACAAAGGCTACTGTCTTGTGGACGCTAGACCTCACCACATCACCACGCTTTGCCCACAGCAGGGGTGAAACAGATGCCACAAGAAGAAGGACGTCATATAGGCCAAAAGGAAATACCATTACTCACATTCACTTCTCTCTCTCTCTCTCTTCTCTCGTCCCCAACCACACACTCTCTCTCTTCTGCGCTTCCTCTTCCCTCTCCCCCCTTCACAATAAGCAAAAACGCGCGATAAAATGAAGGTGAGAGGGGGAAAAACACTACAAAACATACAAGCGGAAACAAAACGGCAAAAGCGACTTCCAGTTTATTTGACTCCACGTATATTCGTATGCGATGCAGAAAGAATATCTGCCTAAAGAGAAAAATAAAATTGTAAACGAAGGAAGAGGACGCCAGTTGCACAATGTGCTGCAGAGTTCAACAGATTTCGTCGGTATTTCGTGTCGTCTATTCCTCTGCCGGAGGTGATTTCCATCTTCCATTCTGCGACGCCCCGCAGCACGCGCCACCTCATTTAGTCACAGCGCCTCCCCTCCAGACTCTTCAGAATCCATCACTGTTCACAATCCAAGCATCCAAATAAAAGAACAATACGATCATACACGTGTACGTGGACATACACACACACATCCTCCTGCAGCATATGTGCATCCGCAATTCTTCACCTCGACACAACGCGAGGCCAATCTATGAGGCTAACCTCACCAATGCGGCCGCCAAAAGTGACTTGGGGGTAGCAGCTACGCGTTGCGTTCCATTGGGGTATCCGCCCATCATCGAGCTGTTTGCCCTTCCCATCGTGGATAGAAAGCTTTGCGTGTCCAACATTCGGGTTAAACGTCACTCTAAGTAGGAACAAGCGCCTTGTGTTGCTACATGTCAGCACCCAAAGGTGACTCAAGTCGGGAGTGCGGCTCGCAGCCCAAGCCTTTAGATGACCCCCAACCCCCACGCCAATACCCACCCACTCACCGGGATCTTCCACCCGCAGTGACCACTCTAGACATTTTGGCCTTCTCCGCGCGTTTCTCACATCATCATCATCTGCCATAAGCTCATGAATAGGCACATCAAGCAAGCAGGTTCCACGGCATCCCGGAATGGCTATCCACTGCCCCAAATGATTTCGCTGGGTTGGCGTACGAATTCTATCCATCTCAAAAGCCGCCTCCTGACCACGCAGTAGAAACCGCATGGGTCGCTGTCGTGGTGGCACACTGGTTTTCCCACGGAAAGTAGGAATGCTCCCAGTTCGGCTTCCGCGTCTCCGTGGAAAAGAACGTGGTCTCTGTACTCTGATAGGAAATGGTTCTTCAAATTCTGCACTTCTTGTCACCACCTGGCTTCGCTCCCTCCGATCCTGTTGGTGCTCGTGCTGATGCAGCTCCCGCGGAATCGTCCGCTCCTCCAGAGTCTTAAACCTAAACGGAGAATGTGAACGGTTCGAATTAGTCCTCGCAAACACTGGCGACAGACACTGCAGCTCCGCCATTGCCCGCTGTAGATTTGGGGTAAGTTCGTTTGTTCGCATCGGCAGCTCAAGCGACTCCAGTGAAATGGGCTTCGGGAACTCCTCAGAGGCATGCAGTGCGTTCGCCACCGTGGCAATCTGCATTGAATACAGCGGTTTTACACCTTCCGTTTGCAGGTGATCAATTGCGGCTTGTAGCAACCGCACATGTTCATCCTCGGAAAGAATCTCCTTCGCGATATTGCTCAGTGAATAACCAAATACAACATCACAATGCTCCAAAAACTCCTCCCGCTTCGCCTCAACAGCAGCCAGAAGTAAATCAAACTGTTGATTGACAGCATCCTTTTTGTGCTTCGCAATAGACATGATTCTTTGATGCTGACTCACCCAGCGTGCGGCACTTCGCCGCACCCCTTGCGCCTGCTCCGAAAGCCGCTCCAAAATTCGGAGCCGAGAGTCACCATCAAGAACCTCCGGAATGACAACCAAGTCGTCGACGTGGGACGCATTCTTTGAAACACACAGAGCACACAGCAAGCTCTTCGAAAATCGATCAAACAGCTGCAGCTCTTTGTGGTGCACTGGGCACTGAGGTTCAGACTGCGCCACGGAATACGGGACCCACCGCACCGTCAACATCGCGAGTGGAAGTGCAAACTTCGCTGGGTCTCTAAAAAGAATTGCAGATTTATCCAATACAAAACAACTCGTCGCAGCAGAGTTGCTCTCAAGACTATGCTTCGCCTCAAGCACCGTTTCAGCAAAGAGCATGTTTCCAGGTGCGGCCTCGTAAAGAACGATGGGGGTATCCAAGTATTCAGAGGATCCATCACAACTTGCCTGGGCCCCATCCGACTCCAACAGCCGCAGCTGCGGATAAAAAAATTGATTGGGCAAAACTCCTTTTGTTGCTACAAAAATGGTTTTGTGTTCTTTAAGGCCTGAAGGCCGTTCAGTATCCTTCTTCATGAGCTGAATACCATGCAGTTTGGTGACCTTTCCGTAAAATTGTTGCGGCGACAATATAGAAAAAAACTGCTCCACAATACGGCTACGAGAACTAGGGGAAAGTTTACCTTCACTAAAGGGTATTGCATTATCTTCCTCAAGGTGGGTAGAAGACTCCCTCAAGGCGCTTGTAACCTGTTCTAGCCTCTGACTCTTAATGTGTTCTACGACAACCGGCGAAAGGTCAGGCATCACGTCTGACGCAGCAACTTGATTCCTCTTTAGTTGATTTATAGAAGTCTCGGGCTTTTTTTCGTCTTCTTCCCTTGATCCTACACCTGGGCGGTGATCCACCGAGTTGAGCAAATTTGATTCATCATGGTGTTCCTCTTTATCTTCAAGCTTTTTAGTTTCCCCCTGAGAAATAGTACGGGAATACTTTGACGTAGACAGTAACGACGTTTGAAGGCGTTGGTGTGACACGCTGCTTTCCTGAGTTTTTGTCAGATCCTCACTCTGAACTAAATGTGGCGTTGGTGACGGGGTTCTTTCCTCATTGAACTCAATCAAAGAGGTATTGGAAGGGTTGGGGGGGCTCCGTTCTGGAGACTTCCGTAATAATACTGGTGTCCCCGCCACAGGAGGGTCCTCTTCAACAGCAAACTGAATTTCACTCTCGCTATCCGTCAGGTTCCGCGGGGCATCCGGTCTCAGCATTGACTCATCCATGTAGTTCGATTTGGGCTTAGATACAGAAATACTGTCGTCGTCTTCTTTTTTCTCAGGCTGTGGAGGAGTAATTGCGTGCTCCTTTTCCACCGAGACACTATTGCTATGAAGCATAGGAGGAATGGTGGGAATCTGTTGGGGCGATGGTAAGGCTCCCATTTGAACCACTTTCAACTGCGGAGCGGATGACAAGGACTTCCTTGGTGGCAAACCCCCCGGTGGAGGCGGTGCCATAGGGCTCTTCAAAGCTGGCGCCAACTGCTTTGACTGTGGCGGTGGCATCATTGGCATTTTCACAAATGGTCCGCCAGGCATCATTATTTTTTTCATCATTCCAGGCGGTGGGAGCCCCTTTATAAATTTTACCCCAGGAGGCAGTGGAGGGCCCTTCATCATCATCTTGACCCCCGGAGGTGGAGAGCCGCCCACAAGCCTCGTCCCAGGAGGCAGCTGCAGTTGGTTTCCTTGCAGATGTGTCGAATGCAAGGACGCACTCCCTCGTCGGTCCACTGAAGTTGACTGCATGAGTTCCGGTGTCTGGAGCCCACTCTTGGATTGCGGCGGCGGCAACATGCCTGCGGGATGTGTGGCAACTGCTTGCTGCGGTGGTAATAACGCACTTTTGACGTTAACTGACGGAGGCGGCAACGACGCCGCTGGCATCGCCAGAGTTGCAGCAGGAAGTGGGGACGGAGCAGCAGTTGCTGTAGATGGCTGCTCGGACGAACCAAGTGAAGGATGCTGCGCCACTACTCCCGTGGCAACCCCATCCTGCCCTCTCAATGATGAGGCGGCGGAGCTGTTCTCATGCTTTTTGCGATGAAAAAACGAAACCATTCCACGTTCTTCCTCTCTCTGCTAGCGGCAGCAAAAAGAAAAAAAATGCAACCAGGCGTGGAGAGAAAAGAGAATACAGTAAACAAAAAAAAGTGACAAAATAGTAAAAGGAGCCACGACCAACGCACAATACCAAAAACAAGGTCAACAAAAAGAAAAAGAGAAGTGCGCCTTTTCAACACAGGATGTCCGTAAAGGAGAGACACACACTTTTGATGCAGCCCCTCCTCCCCCAACCACCACCACCCATCAATGCGATGCCCAAGATACAACCACCCCGTGGTATATCAATTGGCTTCCTCGATAAGGGGTTCCTCCTCAAAGGAGCTAATGCCATCTATATGGGACAACTGTTCATTGAAGAGATTCTGCATTGTGGCCGCGGTTTTCGTCTGGTGAATTGTCTCAGACATTCTTCCCATCGCTGCAATGCGCTGTGACAACGGCGTCTGTCGATGTACAGCTAAGGCCCTTGCGCTCTCTCCCCACGCACAATGCTCAGTCAAATGGGTAAAATGCAGTTCATGAAGATTTTCCTCAGCAGCAGCACCAATAAGAAGCGGCATTGTGCGTCTACCATTAGACCGCATAAACTCCTCACGGATAAAGTTGTAGTCAAGTTTTTCTTTCGTCACTTGCGTCGCGGCCCACAGAGTTCCGTGGCAACGCATAAGCTGGTGGAACATCATCCCTTGTGCGAGTCGTCTAGCATAAATGTCGTTCATCCTAACTATTCCCTTTATGTAGTTTGTTTGCCAAAAAAAAGGAGAAAAAACAACAACGCATAAATAAATAATAAAAAAAAAGGGCAGGTGAATAAATTCCGTTCAAATCATACAAAATAAAAAAATGGAACAGTAACAAATAAGAGCAGCATGAATCTCCTTCAAACATCTCTGACGCCGCTTAAAAGAGAGCGCTTGTGTAGAGGCGGATACGTGTGTATAGGCTGGGCATGCGCATTCCTGCCCCTACCGCTGCAGAGGAGCTGTCAAAGAGGCTAAGCGTCCTCCTCCTTCCTCCCTGACGGTGTGCTTCCGCCGCTTGACAGACCAAGATGGTCCAACTCCTTTACGCCAATGTATGCGAAGCCTGTGGCACGTAACTCTTCCTCGGTTGCCTTGTCGTCCCTCGCATGGTCTGGAACAGGTGACACAGTGGTGCTGCCCGTAATCCGCGGTGGGTCATTCTGCGTATATAGCAGCGTGAGCAGCTCCCAGTAAAGCGCAATAGCAAAGATAACGGTAGAGGCCCGGAAGAGCGTCCAGCTCCAGTCCCTGTTGTACCCCCAAAAATCAAAAAACTGAAGACTTTCGCGTGATTCAAAGCGTGGGTCCTGCCAGTGTGGCTTCTCGGGGTCGATGTGCTTCACGTCATCGGGATCGTACAGCCTAGGGTCCATCATGTGCCGCGAAGCTGTGACGCGGTGTCGACGTACGGCTTTGATGGGACAGGCGTTCGCCGCCTTCCGCGTCCAGTTACGAGCCGCAGCAGCCACTTCATTGCGGGTCGGTCATCTTTCATTCCAAGCACAATAAAAACAGGCAGCAGTAACACAGCCGCAGGCGTCAGAAAGAGAGGCAAAAGGAAAAATAAAAAGCGGATAAACATAACAGAAAAGAAAATACACTGCAAGGTTTCTATCTGCACTCCTACGCATGGCAAGAGTCTACTGCGCTGCTTTTACCTGCTGCTCTGGTGGAATTCCTGTTTTGTTTTGTTTTTAAGGTTATGCATATGTGTATACTTCCACCGCATTTTATGTTTAAAATTTTACGGAGTCTCACGCGTGCACGAGTCGGCAATGCCTCCGCTGTTGCTGGCGGTGCCGTTGCTCATTGCCTCATCACCCCACCCGAGCATCTCCGCCTCACTTGGTTTTGTGTGGGTTCCTCCACACCGTACTGCACCAGCACCACCGCTGCAGTAAGATCGTTACAGCCACGGCATCCACCAGATATACATCTCGGAGAGATTTTCGAGTGCGGAGGAGTGACTGATGAGGCGCGAGACTTGGCCCTCACAGCTGAGCGCTAACGTGTCCTTCTCGCGGGTGGAACTGTACAAGTCAAGAAATCCGTCCAGACGCCGCGAGACACGTCCAATCAGCTGCCTGGGATCAAAGTTCTTCTGACGCAACGACGAGTGTCGCGTCCATTCAACGAGAGGGTCATACAAAAGCGTTTCAACAACGCTCATGACGGCGGTCTTGTTTTTCATTTGGCAGCGAAGAGCCAACTCGCAGCATGCGCGAAAGGGTCCGTCAACACCAAGTATCCCCATGCCGTCAACCACATTTTGCGTCAGGCGAAACCGTACCCGCTCTGGGATTTCCAGGAACTCACCCTTGTCAAATAAGCATGCAAAGTCCACGTGTAACAACTCCCCACAACGCAAATCCAGCATGAGGTTCTCGCCATGTCTGTCACCAAGACCAACGATGTGCCCTGCGATGCTCCACAGTGCCGTGGTTTGTGTGTAGCAGTTACGCGCGTTAAACCACTCCTGGTGACTAGGAAAGTGACGGTGAAACCAGTTGTGAAAGACTGGCTTCGTTTTGGGGAAGATATGCTTCCGCAGCATGTCCATCTTGGTGAGTGATCCGTTGTCCACCATGGCCTTCCACGCCTTTACCTGCGAAACGCGGACACCCGTGCCTTCCCATGCATAGCAATCCTCCACCACCCTGCGAAAGGGGACAAGGTTGCTGACCCATTCGATAATGGCGCAGTCATCACTGAGAGCGGCAACGGCGTACCGGCGCAGTGCAAACCGCTTGCGCCTCGGCTCCGGGTCCGTAAGGAAGAACGTATTCATTAAGGAGGCAATTTCCATCATTCGCATATCCTTCCTGGGTTCATCCCTCGCCTTACACAAAAAAGGAACACGTGCCCCCTCATCGCTTATTATCGTTATACGCTTGGGCTTCTGCAGTGAGCTCATGATGGTTACACGCTCCTCCAGGCTCTGAAACGCTGCAGAACCAGCAAAGACAGCCGTGTTCTCCGTCACACGCATAACATTCGGCGACAGGTTGGCCATCGTCGGCAGAATAATGCGTGTCACTGGCAGGATCTGCTGGATCCGCTGCATAAAGGGTTTCCCGGCAAGCGACGCCTGCGACGATGAACGGCCACCGACAAGGCTTGCTGCAGGGCAGTTGCAGAGCTCAATAAGCGACTTGAATAAAGCAAGCATGTCCTCAACGAGCCGCTTTTGGGTCGGGACGCGGTTCACAAACTCGAGAACGATCGCAGTGCGCGCCGTCTCGCTGCGTTGGCGTTGCTTACTAAACATAATTGGAAGCACCTGCCACAGGCATTGCTGCGGGAACTCCACCATAAGGTTGACAACGGTGCCCGTGACGATCCTAACCACGCGGGCGTTGTCCTGACCAATGCGAGACAGCAGCTGGGGAAGGGCTGTAATGAGTTGTGTGACTGGCAACCTCGTGCCCGGTTGTAATAGAAACCGCTCCATCATTTCATTCATCTTTTTAAGCAGCGAATCCGCAAGAACCGCGGCTGATCCCGACTTCGCAGCCAACACGGTGGAGCAATTGAGCCACAGTGTCAGCATGCGAGGCAGGGAGACGACCATCGTTTTGCTGCCCAGCCGCAGCGCAAGCCCAAAATGATGAATCGCCTGGAGCACATAAGACTCGATATTTCGCACCACTTTATTCTCTTCAATGTCATCAGAAGAGGCACTGAGAAGTGCGCCAGCCTCCTGTGTAGAGTTCTGAATAGAGCGATACAATGTTTCGTAAAACAAGCCAAGGTGGTGGTGAGCCTTTTCAGATTCATTCATTTTCAGTGCCGCCTCATACCCTGCAATCACCTCCTGGGAGGTTTGATACCCCGTCTCTTGCCGCCATCGCGTGACTAGCAGCCGTAGCTTGGCGCGAGTAACAAGCGGGCCGAGCGCATCGTTGACGACATTCTCGGCAAACTCAACAGCTTGATTTGGCATGTTCATCTCGTACAGAAGCTTAGCCACGGTGGTATAGTAGGATGGATCAACGTAGCCGTCTCCCAGTTTCGCTCGTTTGGCTGCACTCAGTGCCGCCTCTAAAAGCCCCTCATCACGCAACATCTTTGCGTGCTGCATCCACGTTTTAGTCACCTCTTCCTTCATGTCAAACGCCCTAAAAATAGCGCGATGAAGTGATATTAAAAGCTCCTGCGTTTCTGGTGTGGTCTCCGTTAGACAGGCTCGTTGCTGCAGCAACGATGCAAACTCCTGAAGGCGTGTCGTGTTACTCAAGATGCCATCATGAACGGAAAGTACGTTTCCATCAGGCTTTTCATCCATTTGCAGAGACATCGCAGTCTCAGCTGCGGTCTCAATATCACTTAGGGCGTGAAGAACGGCAACGTGTGAATGCACCTGAGCATAACTTTCCCTAAAGGCTGCACGGATGACGGGTGCTATTTTTTGCCGCTGCATTTTGCAAGCGGAGAATACCTCGTTCAATGTGCCTCGCTTGTAAAGTAAGTTGGTGAAGGCTCTGATGGGTGGTGCCACGCTAATTGGAAGGTCGTGGCGAGGCTCAATACGTTCCCATTCCCCAAGACGCCATGCCGCCTCATTCGCGTAGTTCTGCAATGCGGTCATCTTTGCGTCCCAATAAAGATTGCCCTCCTTCCCGTGCTCGCCTGGAAGGCGTGAGTATTGCGTCAGAAGAGCTTGACTGTAGCGAGACATGAGGTGTAATTGTCCGAGTTGCTGCATACAACGCAGAAGAGTAAACTGATGGTTAATACTATTGGGTTGGTGTTGTAGCACCAACTCGCTTGCCTGCAGTGCAAGACTCCACTCACCGTTGTTCTCATACGAAAAGGCTGAATCCTCAGGTTGGTGTACTTGTGTGCGGTGCAGACTCCGTGATGAATCCCTGTCGCCGAGAGCGGCAAAAATACACTGAAGGGATATGTTATGCTTCATAACGTCGTGCACGGATGGTAAATACTGCTGGCTCTCTATGCATCGTAGCGCACGCATGTTGCTCCCAATGGCCACCGCCGCCGCCGCCTTGGTGGTCCATGGCACAAGAAGAAGAAAGTTTTTGCAGACGGCATCCACATGTGTCGCTTCCGTTAGGTCAAGCGTACCCGCACGCGATGTGTGAAGTTTGCGGGCGGAGCGAAGCAGATTTAGTCGCAGGTGCTCAATATTCTCAAGAATCTGAAAGACCTCTTGCACATGTTCCTCTACGCCAGTGGCGCGTGCCCCGGGCGTGGCAACCTCACGCATGATGCCCTGCGAATAAAGTGAGCCAGTCTGTCTCTCCTCGTGTCGTGTGCTAGGTGACGCAACGCGAAGCAAATTTGTCACCTCAGTCAACACCGCATTGCAATGGTCAACGTTACTCATGCGTAGAAGGTGAACAATAATGAGGGGCAAAAGGCATGTGATGAGGACGTGGTCGCCCTTTGCCATGTTGCGCAGCGAGCCCATCATAAGCCCAAAAATACCCTCACAGCGCTCGACAAGGTCACGGAACCATAAAACCAACCACTCATTAAAAGACATTCCAGCCGCGTACACCGGACTGCGTAGTTCAGTCCTTGTGAGGACGTTTTTGTCGTAGCGAGTCATGGTATATCCTGCCAGAAGTTGCTGACACTTTGGCTCCAATTGCGACCACCACACGTATTCCTGAAGCTCCTTAACGTCTACAGCTTCTGTAGCCTCAAGGGACAAGCGGTCAACCAGTCGCCGCTCGGTGTCTGTACAGACACGCAGAAGCTGTTGTACAGCGTACGCAGCGCGGTCATGCATGGTGGGGTCAGCTGTGTTTGCAAGAGACCGCGGACAGTAGACACCGAGCAATTTGTGCGCCAGGGTACGCCAGTCCAATACGTCCTGCGGCAGAAAGTGCATGCCCCGTAAAGCCCCACTTCCGCCGCTAGTCAGGGAAAACGACATGGAATCACTATGCGAAGTAAGATTTCGCTCCGCTGCTAGCAATGGAGCGTGCGAGTGGGCTGCGGCACCAATCATGCCAACGCAAGCCAATATGTACTCAAGGTTGTCGTTGCGCAGCTCACATGCGCAATTGAGCAACGTGGAAATAAACTGCGGGCTCGCCTCAGCCGCCCGTGTCATCTCCATCCGACCCGCACTGTCCATTTTGTAAAGATATTGATAAAGGGCACGGACAAACGCCTCGTTGCACTTGGCGGAGCCCGATTGCATCACGGACAAAAAACCAGCCACAACAACTGTGGCGTTATGTCCCGTGTGTGCCGGGCCCTTTCCCGGACCCTGTGCTTCTGAAAAGGACACTGAATGGCTGCCACCCACCCTCAACCGGCGGACAAGTTCATTTGTCTCACCCATCACTAGAAAGTACCACTCCCAGAAGGCCTCTCGTGAAGAACTCTCGTAAACGATCCGCATGGCCTCTTCCAACAAAGGCAAGGACCCTCCCTCCACATCAAGACTACAGCCATGAGCCTCAGCCAGCTGTACCATGCTAAGAAGATCCACAACAATACTAAAAGCGTGTTCCTTGAGGTATTCCTTCGTGCAATTTGCAAGTAACTCACGCCAGACCACACACACTGACTGCACCAACTGTGGCCGTGCACTGCAGTGCATCAATATGGCTGGCAGCTTGGGCGCAACAGTCGTCGCGTGGGAGCCAAGTAATCGTATGAGCAACGTCAGACTGCACAGGCAGCGCCGCACAATGCAGATAGAGACATGGTGAGTCACCTTCAAGGGCCCGATACCAAAACCCACAAGCTCTGCCATCGCATCCAACACGTGAAAGACATCCCCTGTTAGCGCCCTTACATCCATCTCTATTGCAACCGGTGTTACCAGCGCTTGCAAAATCGCATCCGCAGCAGGACCGCACTCCATAACACGAAGCGCTACCTCCACTGCAAGGTTGAAGTTGGAGAGAAGACCACTGTCATCCTTCTTGCATGTTTCCGTGAGATTCACCTCAGCCGTCTCAAGCTGCAACTCCACGCTGCGGAGCCGACGCCCAGCTTCCAAGTAGATAAAACTAACAATAAGCGGCGCACGGGCGTCAATCACCATATCCGGTAAATTCTCTAAGGGGATTGAAAAAAAATCCAATAGCCTCTGGATCTTTTCCAACTTCACCGTCGCCTGTGCATGGGCATACTCCAGCAAAATGTACGCCATCACCCTAGCAAATACGCTGCGTTGAGAAAGTGGCTCTTCCAACAACGCCGATATCTGTTGCAGCCTTTCCTTGCCTCCGTCGGAGAGAACACAGAGGGGCAGCGACTCCTCAAGACAAGCCAGGGCAACACCTTGCACGGTGCTTCCTTCTAAATCACACATGGCCTTAAAAAACGAGGTATAAATCATGTCAGCATTCCCCCAGCATAACGCAGCCACCGACCAGGAAGAATGCAACATAATGGCATGTGCTGCACTCAGCGCCGTGGATTTGGTGGGCTGCGTGAAGGTGTTGTTTTCCCAAATTTCCATGCACATCTCAAAAAGACTCCTGCAGGCTGCGCGTTGCTGCTCTTGTTGCGGGGTCGGGGTGATTGCTAGAGGTAACGAGGCAACCGCAGAAGAAGAAACGTCATGGTACATACCCTGCCCTAAAAGCACCAAGTGAAACTCACCAGTAAAGGCGGCCAGTAATGCCTCAAGGCACCAATGCTGTTGCACCGCCGCATCCCCCTTAACTCGCAACAAATTCTGCATAAGCACGCGCGCAATGCCAGCGTCATTCCATCGAGTAAGTAGCATACGTAGCACTAACGCAACGTAGCCGTGGCGAACGATGCGATTGCTGTGATTCAGGCCACGCGTCAGAACAATATCTTCCATGGCTTCCCACCGCACAGGAGAAAGCGCCACACACAAACAAACAAACGATAGCAACGTGTCATGAAGAGCATCCGATGTCTGCGAGGGTCGTGTAAAGAGGAATTGGCGTGCTACCCAGCCGATGGCTTCCAGAGAAGCACTGACGCCACGCAACAACTCATCGACACCACCGCTACTGTTGTTGTACATTTCCTCTGACTCCTCCTTTTCTTCGGCCTCGCCACAGCGCCGTTGTTGCGGCCGCCCTCGACGTTTTTTACTGAAGCTCACAATAAAAACATCCTCCTCTAGGTTCAGAGTTTCCTGTGGTTTATCCGTCCCCCCTTCGTCATCCAGAACAATCACCTCCGTCGACTGCGTCCTCTCCACGCTGCCGGACGCAGTCGAGTGGGCACGCAACCACTCCGCTACAGAAAGCGTCTCTGTTACAAACGCCACCATTTGCTGCCAAAACAGCGTCGGTGCGTTGTTACTCGCAAGCTCCTCAAACGACCAATTCGGAGTGACGACGGCGAGCGCTTCAAGCACGTCTGTAATCTCCCTAAAGGCGGTGAGGACGGCGGCAGAGTCACCGTCCTTTGACTCCGTCTCAAAACAGCACGAGGAGGCTGCATCACTCATTCTGGACTGGCACAGTTGGGCGATGCGCTTTCTGAAGCCACTGAGGACACCAATGGTGCACCACAGCGCCATCGCTGGCGTCCCCTCCCGCGATCGTAGCAGTTGCTTCACAAAAAGCAGCGCATCTTTGTCACCACCACCGCTGAGGGGCAACCTTTCTATAAGGACCGCGTAAGTTAACGCCACGTGCAGTGACGAATCCAGCCGGTGCAGAGTCGCACGCCCCGTGGCCAACGCCTCTAGCAAACTCAGCGCCATTGCCTCCACATCTACTTGCTTTGTCAACCGCAAGAGAATGACAACCGCATCCGCCGCCATGACATTTCCCCCATCCACTAGGCATTGCCAGGCTGCTGAAAGTGTATCCTTTACACTATTTTTCTCGCAAAGCACAATGGATGAGTTTGCGGTAGCCAACAAGTATTCATCCATCGGCACCTTTCCACAACGGAGTGCAAGCTCCCTTTGAAGAAGTAGCTGCACCTTTTCCAGCGGGAAGAGTTTGAGCAGTTGGTGCAATACCCCCTGCCTGGGAGACGCATCTGCAAACCACAGCATTGGTTGCAGAATCCTAACATCCAACAATGCGTTTATCAGATCTGCAGCCACATCATAAATCACCTCGTCCATGTGTCTCGAGATGCAATTGATATGCGGCAGTGTCTCCTTGAACATTTTAAACAATACGGCCCCTGCCTCAAGTGACTCTGGTGAAGTTTGCCGACGAACACATCCAATCAGAGCACGAATAACATCGCTTAGCACTTTTGGCTTTGAAAGTAAGGTTTCTAGTATTGTGTGAGGAGCAGCCGTGCCGTCACCCCCTTCCAAGGTATCCCCCCCTTCCCCTGTTTCCCTAGTGGCCAGCGAGTTAGAGGCTGCCGTACTCTGCGTACTAGTTTCCGCCATCCAACGAAGCAGCTCTAATTCCCACGTTACTTTCCAGTCAATCCTGTCTAGACGCGACATCTCAGACAGGTGCCCCAGCAAAGTATTGAGGATCATAGCTCCATGAACCGATTTAATAAGCAACCCGTGTGACATCATCACCCGCAAAAGAGCCCCGACGCTGGTTTGAATCAGCGTCAATGGACCGGGTTCTTGTTTGTCAGGCGTATATCCACAGGATCCCCCCTCCAGCGGCTCACTGTACCCACTCACTAACCTGTACAAAGAACTTTCCTGTAAGTTCAAAATAAGAAGGCTGCATGCTAAACGCAACACTACATCTCGCTCATCCAAATTCGATTGAAACAGGATGTTACTTTCAAATAGATCAGTCATAATGTTGCATAATCCACGTGCCACACAAACGCCCTCGTACATGCTATCGGCAACGATGTTAGATACAAACAGTGATTCAACGTCAGAAGAGACCCCGTTAATCACCGGTGGATCGCTAATCTTAATGACGCAGCGCCCGTATGAGCACCTTATCCCGGCGATTTGAGGAAAAATGAAGGCACCCATCGTGTCATCCCGTAAGAGGGTACGACAAAGCTGCTGAAACAAGGACGGAGAACGGGAGGAGAGTAAAACAAAAGCCTGATGAATACCCTTAAATAGTATCTCCTCATTTGCCTTGCCTAGCGGGTATGGTGCTCCAAGTACGGGAAGTAAGGAGAGGAGAGTCAATATGCTATGCACAAGGATGCCGGGAACTACCGCCGCAATGCGAGACACGCTAATGTAAATACGGAGGGCAAGCCAAACATATCTCAACACTCGCCGCGAGCCTGCATGGCACAACTTTTTCATCTCCAGAGGAACCGCCAACACATTCGACGTGAGCGCCACAAGCACATATGGTCGAATGTCAAGGATAAGGGTCCACAATTTGGCTTGTAACTCATCTGGAGGGTTGCCACAAGCGGCAACTTCCATGTCTAGCGCAGTCGCACGTTGCCCAAACGCCTTGAGAATTTCACGCAAAGGTGCTGAATCTTCCGTTGACGGCCTTGGGCGCTTTATTGCAGTCAGTGGCCTGTGCAACCCCTCCTTCTCCACCTCCTGCGCGCTGGTCTCATTAATCTCTGCATAACTCATTTTATTTTTCCCTCGTTTTTTTTTTTTTGCACCCACGCACACTCCAAGTCAGTGGCGTGGTCGTACAGGCTTCTCAATCTCGGGCGCGCACACTCGGTGCACGCTGCATACCAGCACCCTACATAACACACACGAAAGAAGCACACACACACGCACAGAAAAAAAGAACAAAAAAAAAGATAGAGAAAAAAAGAGTAAAAACAAAACACGGGCCTCCAAACAAAAACAATAATAATTAAAAAAAACATCTGCCGCAGTATAGCGGGCCGCCTTCAAAAGAGAAAAAAAAAGGTCTCATCCGAGCAGGTGCACGTCTCACCACCTCCACGTACTTCACACAAGCAGACCCTTCCTTATCTCAGGAAGAGAGCAACACCTCAAGCTTTTCCACGACCACATCATTTTCCACTTGCAGAGCAGACACCTGTTGAATAACGTCTAACTGACGTGCAATGGCCCTTTCAAGAGCATCTAATGGCAGAGAAGATGTCTCAGACTGGCTAGTGTCGTGTTTCAGCTCATTATACATGTCTACAATGCTTTGGCCAACCTCCTTAATAGACTGCTCCTGGTTCAGTTTAAGGTACCCGTAGTCATTCACTTTGTTAAAGAATTCCGTAGCCTCACGCATCACAGCTTCCTTCTTCAGCAATTTTTCCGCAGAGTTAGGGATGCGTCTCGGCATCTCAGAGCAAGAAGGGGTGCCCGTGACTGGTGTTGAGACTTTTGGCGTAGTCACCAGCCTTGGCGGCTCCTGAGTTGCAGGCATTGGGGTTTGAGCCTTTCGTGTTTTATCCTGCTGCGCGTATCCCACTGCCAGCGCAAGGCACTTCAGGAACACATTAGTTTTTTCCGGTTCACTCCCCGAAACAATCTTCTTCACACTTACATCAATTTTCCTTCCAAGAAGTGATCCCACATATTCAACCAGCGTCGTGAGGTACTTGATCTTCTTTTCCTTGCTGTCGATCTTTGTCACGTCAAGCTGATCTGGAGAAAAAATGTGGTCGTACGCGGCAAAGCGAACGTTGATGGCTGTCACTATGTCGGCAATGAAGCGAAACGGTGGTCGCTTTAGAAGCTTCGGCGTGATCTCCGGACCGCTTAGCTGCAGTGGTTGGAATGCCTCGATGGTTGGCGTCCAGAAGTCCACCTCCGTGTCTCCCATAGCCGGAAGTGCAAAAGAGAGTGAGGGCAGAAGTATTGCCTAGTGACGCACAGAAATCACGAGAGACGTCGAAAACAATAAACACCCCGCCGCCTGCAACCACAAAGATCAAAAAACAAACAGGCAAAAGAAGGGAAAAAAGAAAACAATGAAGCAGCAGGAACACACCAATGAGCGAGAGCAACGCCAGATGCACCAGAGCCAAGAGGATAAAGATATTTATCCACGTACAAAGGGATTATAGGTCAAGGTAGATACAATGCTCATAAGTATGAGACGCCGTCCGATTCGTTCGAGCCTTAATCATCCTTCTTGCCGCCAGCAGACACGAAGCTGTTCTCCTTGCCTGGCTCACTGCCGGTGATGCTATCACGTCCGGTCAATTTCTTGAACTCACCAATGTGCCGCGTTTCATCGGGAACGCCAAGAAGCGCATTTATAGAAAAGCTACTCTCCAGTCGTCGCTGCTGATACTTGGGAAGCAATCGATTAACCGTCTCGTTGTGTGTCGTCGGCACAAATAAGGTGCTTGCTCCAACACCAAGCAGCTTAAGGCCAATGTTCCGAAGAGCGATGTGTGTGTCGTGGTGGCGTACAGCCAACCAAGACTGGAATTCCGGATTCTGCCGCTTCAAGTACGTCATTTCTCGCAACTTGTTAACCATGGCAACCAGACTAAAGGGTGCATCCTTGCCCAACCAGTGCTCCTGAATAGCCTCAATCGGGGTGTAGTGAGGATACACTTGTTCTTCAATGCCCATCCACCCCTTCATGGCATGAGCAAGGCCCAAGTCATCTTCCGTCCGCACCTTCGCGGTGCGCATGAGCTGCGAGGGTCGATAAAAGTCCTTCAGAGGCCTTGAAAGCAGACGATTAATGGCCTTTAGATAAATGAAGCTGAAGGCATGAGCAGAGATAACTGTGGTGTACGTGCCAGGTGGGTCTTGGAAGTCCAGGGTGTTGTACTCAGGATCCATCAGGGCTGGGTGAAATCCCCACATACTCATCCCCTCTTCCACCACACTCTGCTCGTATTCATCCTGCTCAGATTTCCTCGCGTACTTATTGTACGACTCCGCTGGCCGGAAAGCAATGATGATATCCGATGTATACCGTGACAGCTTACGGATGGAGATGTCACGCGTCGTCCCCATGGAGTCATCAAAGCGAATAGTCCTGTGCATACTCGCTCGTCCCAGGCATGCGCCAATGGCTGCTAACAGATCCGTAAAACCCTCGGACGAGGACACATCGTTTCTTGCCTTCCACAGCATGTCGCGCGTCCCTGTCTTTTTGTCAGTAAAGTAGAAGGAGATGGTAAAGATCTCCTCCGGCCTATGCTCGTCCACATCAATGACGCAGTCCAGACACTCAATTTCCTCCCCGAGTTCACGCCACGTCAGGTGTTTGGGTGCCTTTTTGAACTTGTGCTCAAACATCAACTTATGCTTCCACTTCTCCTCAGCATCGTAAGGCACCACAGCGTCGTCCGGTTGCGACATGGCCTCAATAACCTCGCTCTCAACATCATCGATACGCCGAAAGTCTACCGTCGACTTCTTCACGTCTACCACATCCTCCACCTTCCACATACCGGCAGCCCGGAGAGGGCCGTAGTCCGGCTCCACCGGCCCATCAGTCGGTTTGACGCCACTGGCACTGCCCACTGCCTCTTGCAACGGGCCAGATGAATTATCCCTTCCCTTAGTGCCCTGCAGCACAGTGTAGGACGCTTGCACCGGCGGTAATCCCACGTCGTTTGACGTTTTTTTTTCCCACCATTACTCTCCGTGGTTGTAGTGGTGCGGATCTGAAGCAGAGAAAGGGGGTAACGCGAAAAGGCGGCGCAATACACGACCCGCTGCAGCCGAAAAGAACGCATATAAATTATATTAATGCCTCTATATCAACGCACTTACCTTCGCTCTCCTTTTTTATTCTTCTTTTTCGTCCTGCCTTCACCCCACGTCGCCGTGGGGAGTAAGGCAAGGTACTGTAAGAGCGAATTCAGACCAAATGCAGACCCATCAATCGGATGCAACACAAAGAAAAAAAAATAATAATAATATTTCACAGAAAAAAAGGGGCAACAATACAAAAAAAAACGCGGATTACTACACAAGCACGGCCGCACATCACCCGAATCAAATGCAACGGTCTCTCCCTCTCTCTCTCTTTCTCTATCCCCTCCCCCCCATTTGATCGTCCTTCGCCATACAAGCGCAGCCACATCAGTGGAAAGTCGCCGGCGGCCTAAAAACTCCTCTGCGGAATACGGAGCGTGAGCGCAGCCCCATCACTGCCAACGGAAAGAGGATTCCCACCACAATCATCGCCAGCCCCACAATATATCCCAGCAGGGAATACTGGGTGATAAGAGGATCACTCATTTCTAGCCTACGTTTACTGCGGTCGGGGAGTAAAGGGAGAAGCGTGGGGGTAAAGCAGGTGAGTGTGTACCTGACCGAGGCGCCCCCCTACTGCTGCCACGCACCCACGCGCAATCACACGAGTTTAAAAAGGAGGTGGAAGCAAACAACAACAACAGTAAAATAGATTGCATCATCAATAACAAGCACGGCGGCTGGAGCCGGTGGTAGCGAGCCATGAAACAAATATAGCAAAATAAATAAATAAACAGAATACTCGTATTAACAGCAGCGTGCAAAGGCACGCAGAGATTACTGCTCGACCTCAGCAAAGTGCAAGAATGAAAAACGTGGGGGGAGGAGGAGGAAGAAGAAAGAAGAATAACATACGGTTCGGAGACAATAACTTCGCAATGGTTCAGTTCTTCTTTTGCTCGCGCTGCAGTTTATCCAACAGCAGCTGCACTCGGCCATCCATCACCGGCTGTCCCTTGCGAGTCTTTTGCGCATAAATTGCGTTATTCACACGTCTCCTTTGAATGCAGTTAATCTTTGTCACTTCTCTTTCCTTCTTTGCTGCCTTCGCCGCCTCAATTTGCTCTTGCCGCTCCTTTCGTGCCTTCTCCACCTTCGTCAGGGCGTTGTGATGCTTTTCCTTCCTTTTGAGGATCTCTGTCACCGTTTGCGCGGCGTAATTCCTTTTCAGGTTAAACTTGCGCTTCTTCTTCTCCGCATTCGTAAGGCTCTGATCGTAGTCAATGCTCTGCAGCTTGTCGTTTAGCGTGCTGGAGGCGTCCTTGCGCGTTGAGTCGTACTCCTCCAAACGTTTGGAGTGGACGCCTTCCTCCTTGCAGAGACGCCGATACTCCTCCATGCGCCGACGCTCTGCATCTTTGCTCTCCCGCCCATGCAGGAGCAATTCATTGCGCACCTTCCGCCTAAACGCAGCCTGACGCTCTGCCTTCAGCATAGGCGGAGGACGCCGACTCGAGCTGCCGCCATCACCACTAGTCATGCCTCCCTTCTTTTTGAACCGTCCTTCTTCGGTTTAGATGGAAAAAAGATGCAGTAAAAAAAACAAAAAATAATAATTGTACGAAGCCAGGCAAAGAATCATTCATACGCAGTATCATAAAGCAAAAACAAAACGAAAAGGGAAACAAAAGAAAACGATCTGCCATTAACCTAGCCAGTACATTAGTAAAAAGAACTACAAGGGAGTTAGTGTACAACAGAGTCCCTGGCACGTTGAGGAAATGCGCTCGTGATTGTTTCAAAGTCGCACACCGTACATGTAAACACGTTCATAAAGAATATGTCTCTTGCTCAGTTGTCGTGTGACCTAGAATGCTGTTGGAGTGTCAGCTTCGCAGTTCTCACAAGTTCCACAAGAAGTGCGGCAGGAACAGCTTCCTTGCGGTATAAACCCCCGCTTGGAAAGAACAGATAATGCTGTTCAGGCAAGAGCTGCGCAAGCGAACGCAAGGAACGACCGTCAGGCTCAAAAAGAACACTAGGTGCCGGTTGGCAGTTCATCAACATGCCTGCCTTCTCTGTTAGCTGCTCCATGTAGCGGTAACTACTGTGCACCAAAATCCGTGTCGGCTTGCAAAGAAACGATGTAAAAGTACCGAAACAGGGCCAAACATTGATCCAAAAACTCTTCTCATGCACAAGAGGCCCTTTTGGGACACACATGCTGGTATCCTCAAAATTTGTGGGCGTCGTAGCACACCCTGGCGCGAAGCGCAGGTTAGGCCGAGGAGGTGTTGGGCCCACTCCAGGAACGCGATAAGATCTGGACTCCAATCGACCGGACAAACATCTACAAGAAAGACATGATACGTCACCATAATCACGGCACTTGCCCCTATAGCACGGATGACCTGATAGGGGCAAAGGCAACATCTGCGGGTAAGACGAAAAGGTTTCAGACGTCGTCGCCTTTGAACGACCGCAGTTCAATTTAAGTGGACCTGAGTCAACATCACCATTGGAGTCTAAACTGAAATATGAAGCGTCACCTCGCTGTCCTTTGCAAACATACGGTCTCCGCTTGACAGGCTTCCATAAACTTCTCCGGCGACACTCCTCCTTGATAGAGCCACTACCAGCTGAATGGCTGCGTTTCGTCTCATACACTGCTTGTTCATGAGCCCCTACGGCATTCTTGGAAGCTGCAGATGGAATGTCTGGGCTGTGGAGCGATAATCTCACATCTGTTATGGTGTCTTCTGGTCGACACTCCTTCTGCCGCCCCATAACATCTCTATTCATGCGCCTGCACTCTTTGCAAAGTCGGTCCCGCTGCTGCTCCGCGCAACTCTCAGCCTCCTTGGAAACACAAAACATTTCGTCGAAGGCGTCTCGCATTTGCCGCAGGTGTGGGGCAATGGTTGGGAAAGCGTCTGCCGCTTCAGTCACGACTACTGCCCCTCTGGAAGCCACCTCCCCTATGAGCAGTAACCAAGCACAGAGAGTGAAAGAGGATGAGCGAGACGAAGAGATCAAACCAAAATAAAAAACAAATTAAATGCAGCCAAGTTGTAAAACACGAAAAGTTCATGTATGCTACAAAAACAGCAGACATTAAGCCTTAGTGAAAGAACAAACAGTAGCAGAGTGTTTCACCACAGCCAAGATAATTTGAGAACCATATAATCACAGCTCTGTGATCAACTTCACCCCCTAATTGGTGGGAAAACTACAACACCGCCGTTCAATCTTTCACAGGCGATCTCCTCTCATTCCCTTTCTTTCCTGCCTTCTTCCCGTCTTTTGCTTCTTTTTTTTTTTTTCTTTGTCCCTTTCCACTGAATGCAGCATACGCACGAGAAGCCTCGAAATGTTTCTACGATAATTATAACCATCACAGTGCCGTTCAACGGGGGAGGTGAGCAGGCAACCACGCACTCGCAGAAACACCATCGTCGTCATCACTGCATCCTCTTCACAACCTTTTCAATGCATTCATTAATATGTTTCGCTTCTTTTTCTCCCCCTCTGATGTGGTATCCAGGTCTAGACTATTTTGATGTATTCACCACAGGACGGGGGCCCAGTACTTTTTCAATATCGTCTTTCATCAGCTCTTTCTTTTCCAACAAAAGTTTAGCGAGCTTTTCATGCAGCTCGCGTTTTTCAAGCAAAACCTTTTCGGTGTGCTTGTATGCCGAAGCCACAAGTTCCCGGGCCTCCGTCTCAACCTTTGTATGTAAATCTTCAGAGTAGCTCATCCAGGCGCGGCCCTCATTGCGCTCATTTGGCTTAAAAGCCAGCTTGCCAATAGAGTTGGACATGCCGTACATTAAAAGTTTTTCCATTGCAATGCGAGTGGCACGCTGGAGATCATCCATGGCACCCGTTGAAATATCCCGCATAAATATCCTCTCGGCGACGCGACCGCCCATGAGAACACACAATTGTGAAAATAAAAACACATCTGTAAGTGGTTCCAGCGCCTCATCCTGCACCTGTTGCGTGTAGCCCCCAGCCCTTCCACGTGGAATGATGGAAATTTTTACCACATCCTTCTGCAGTGGCGATGTCCAGGCCATAATTGCATGTCCCACCTCATGATAGGCTGTGCGCTGCAGCGACGCCTCGCTCATCCGCTGACGATGCTTCTTACCTATAAGAACGTCATCAATGCTGTCCTGGAGTGTCTTTAGCGGGACAACTTGCTCCTCTGACATGGCCGAGGTCAGGGCAGCCTCATTCACAATGGTGGCAATTTGTGCAGGTGACACACCCGGGGTGCGTTCAGCCAATTCATGAGCATATGCCTTGTTACTGACGCCAGGGAGAACCACCACCTCAACAGGTGTTTCTACAATCACGGATCTCACCTCCTCCCCCTGCTTCTCTTCCTTCACCTCCTCACCAGTCACGGTAGAGGGGGCAGCGGCACCAGCTTCACCCTCCTTCCTTGTGCGAAAGGTTTGAACCCTTGGTTTACAGTTTGGATCTCCCGTGATGATTCGGTTCAGGTAAAACTCAAAGAGATCTTGTCGGGCTTCCATGTCAGGCATTGGAATATTCACCTTACGATCAAAGCGTCCCTCGCGTAGAAGGGCCTTGTCAATCGCCTCAGCATAGTTCGTGGCAGCAATCACTACAATCGCCTCCTTGCTAGAAAGTCCATCCAGCTCGGCCAGCAATTGGTTGATGGTTCGGTTTTCCTCACTGCTGCCCCCACCACCCATACTGCGCCCACCCTGGTTACGAGACCCTATGGCGTCAATTTCATCAATAAAGACAACGCACGGTGCGGCCTCCTTGGCCTGTGCAAAGAGTTCCCGGACCCGCTTCGGGCCACTGCCGCCAAAAATTTCAATAAAGTCCGCACCAGAGCAGGAAAAAAAGGGCGTACTTGCCTCACCTGCAACCGCGCGAGCCAAGAGAGTCTTGCCCGTTCCCGGCTTCCCGGTCAGCAAGCAACCCTTCGGCAAACGGGCACCAAGTCGAGTAAACTTCTTCGGTTCCTTCAAAAAGTCCACGTACTGCCTGAGGTCCTCCTTGGCCTCTGGGATGCCGATGACGTCGGCGAAGGTGGTGTTCTTCACATCTACGCGGTAATTCTTTGACTTCATGGGGTTCATCATGTCCATTAGCCCACCCATCATTGAATTCTGCTTTGTCCCATCCCCAGCGGCGGCCTTGCCCATGGCCTGAACGTATTTGCGACGCATGAACCAAATTGGACCAACAAAAATGGCAAGATTAACAAAAAGCGGTGCGAGCCAGCTGACAGCATTTCCGAGAACGGGACCCGATGGTCTTACCATGCCGTCGTAAAATCCCTTAAAGTAATCATTGTCCTTCTGAGGAGAAACGTAGTTCGGTGTTTGTGTTTGTGGCAGTGGTGGTGGTGCCATGTAGCCCTGCGGGACGGTGTGTCGGCCTTGTTGCTGCATGTATACGGGTTGCGCAGGCGGATAGGAAAAAGGAACCTGGTCCTGCTGCTGCTGCTGCTGCTGTTGCGGCTGCTGCGGATATGGTGCCTGCTGACCGTATGGCTGTTGTTGTTGATTGTACATCTGTTCAAAAAGTGACTGGCCCTCTTGGCCGCCTCGTTGATCGCCCTGCATTGTCACCACTAAACTGGGAGGGCCAGAAACACGCACACACACACACACACGACAAAAAAAGAAAAAATAAAATGAAAACAAATGTATTTATATGCGTTAATGTCTGCTCGCGTTTGCTAGGCTACAGGACCTGGAGGGAAGAACAAGAGCAAGGGGACGGAGAAGAAGTTCCGTACAAAAAAAAGGATCAACGGCCCTGTTTGGTCTCGTGTTACTCCCTCATACAAGCAAAAACAAAACAAAAAACCTCTCCGGAACACATACCTGAGCAGCCGCACCAATGCAAGGGAAGGAGCATACTCAATACGCTTTTTTGTTTCTTCTGAAAAGCTACGAGTCTAGCCTACACGACGTGACAGAGCGGGGAGGGGTGCACGGCGGCGGTACTCCACGGGGACTAAGCACAGCCAAGGTGGCACACAGCGATTCGTCCAATGAAACACGTTTACTGTTGTCATTCTTAGATGAATCGCCGGAGACAATGGAGCTGATCAGTGAGTCATCATCGTCATCGGCACCTATGGTTTTCCCAGTGCGTGATGTCGTGAGTCTGCTACCGCGGCTGCTCTCCCTCTTGAATGGCGTTCCGTTTGCCGTGGTCTCCACCGCTTCAGAAACGCTCAGAACAGTACTCATCGTCAATTGATCACTGCTTCCTAATGTATGGTCGGGTCGCACAGGCTGCTCCGTGGTGCCCGCATTACGTGCAGGCTCCTCCAGCGTGCGTGGAACAGCAGACACCGCAGCTCCGAACGTACGACTTAGCACATGGTGGACCTTTGCAGAGTCTCCCGCCCACGAGGAGCTGTGGGCCACAGTGGTGGGCAGAGAGCGTGTATGAAGGGGATCGTCGTAAAGGCCACGCTGATCATGTACCGTAGACAGAGACGTCATTCGGGTAGACTGTGGGCTCCGGTCACGCATCGCTTGCAGACACCGCGAAAGTTTGTCCAGAGCGTCCCAGCTTAACAGCCTCTCGCGGAGGGGCGCACTATAGCGATTGTCAATCCCAACCTCAATACGCCGCGCAAACTCCTCAGTTAAAATATAACGACGTCTCCTGCGTTCCTCAAGCATAAGCAGCTGCTGTCCATAGTGAAGCCTCAGCGGTAGAAGATTATGCTCCACCTGCTCTGCAGACAGGCCCTTCCATTTAACGACAAACTCGGCATATCCATTACGCTGTGGGACCTTTACAACAGAACCACGGTGTCCCCCCTTCACGAGGACATCATCCAGCACGCCGGAAGCAGCGGAAGCAGCAGGAACAGCAGCAAGTGGAGGGGCAAAGGGCGGTAGGACCCCCGAGACGTCATGCGCTTCATCCGAGCCACTCTCCAACACAGGAATCAGGCGGGGGATGTGATAACGCTTCGGCCGTGCAGAAGGAATAAGTGTCTCGCTGTACGAGCCATTACCTAATTGCGTAACGCTTGTCCTGGTGCTCACCACGCTCATCGTGATGCTACGTGGCCCTCACAGGAACCCTCTCTCCCGTTCACCATCAGTCAAGTGGCAGTGAAACGAAAACAACAACGACAATAACAACAACAACACGGTACATTCGGAAGCAAAAAAACAATAAAAAAACAACAACACACACAAAAAAAAAAAATAATAATAATAATAAAAAACAACACCCAACCAACACAAAGTCATCAGCATCCACAAAACGCAAAGAAAAGCACAAACAGAAATCTGCAGAAAGCGATGATACGAACCAACTGCATTAATTATTCACTTCCAGCATTATTAACCGCTGCTTCACTGAGGAAGAAGTCTACAATTAAGCCTATGTCGCATGCAAAAAGCCATATCCCGCATCTATACGAAGCACCATTCATTAACACAGGTAGGGGTCTCGTTGCGCCAATACGATACAAAAGAGGTCACACCAGTTGCAACGGCGCCTCAGCGCAGACAACGCCAGCAGCTCTATCCGTCTCCAATGGGTCTTCCAATGGCTCCAGTGAAAGAAAAAAATGGCGTTGATAAAAGCGCACGTAGAGTGAGTCACAATCATTACTCCCTTGTTTACCTCCCGTAGCATGCACACGGCAAAATACTCCATCGTCATCAAAATCTTGCGGACACACCACAGCCAACGTCTTGCCAAAGATGAGATCACGCCTCAGGTCAACGGTGCTCCAAGTGGGTGAGCCAAGCGCACTGTCAGGTACGTTGTCTGTTAATCTGCACCACATAACGGCATTTTTATTACGCTCTTGCTTCTCATTCTCCGGCTGTGTTTCATCAACACGCCTGTGAAAAAGAAAGCGTGTCACGGCACTCGTCAGGCCTCGGTGAATAACCTCTTGGCTGACCCCACTCGGCGTGCCCAGGTACGGGTTGGGGTACCGGTGGAAGAAGGGAAACCGACGGGGGTCAACTATCGGCACGTTGGCTGTGAGGTTATAAGGAAAAACAAGCGGCTCCACCGCAATATCATTAAAGTCAAACGTCCCAAACTCAAAACGGCGGTCCAGCCACGCTGGTGGACCGTCCCGCACCCACTCCACTACTTGTAGCAGTTTGGGGCTCGCCCATTCCCAAAACTTGATGCTTCGTCTCACGCGCCAAGCCACCACCTGGCAGACAGGGCCATCAAGATACACAAAGAAGTCACACTCATCAACGTCGGCAATTGCCATTTGGCCCTGCAACTGGCAGAGGTAATGTAGTGGAATACCAAAAGGCTGATAGTTCGGTTTTGAGCCGTCATATAGGGAGTGAACAGGCGACTTAATCTCTAGTAAGCGACGCACGCGGCGCGTCGGGCCACTTGCGGGTGTCACGTTTGGCTCCTTCCGCCGCTTCCATTTTGAGCGGAACGGCACCCGCACACTCACAAGTGTCCTTGCGGATTTGTGTTCATTGTCGCTTTTCACATCAGCAGCGGGACTGGGAGGCGACGCATCCACACAGGAGAAGATGCGCCCGTCAGGCGAACATCCCAACAGTCGGTCGGCTGTCAAAAAAAACCCTCCGTCACTCACAAAAGTACCCGTTAAAAGCTCATACAACGCACGTGCCTTCGGTTCGGTTTTAATGCCATGATCCGTGCTGGCATTCCCTTTAAATTCTAACTCCGTTCCGACAACGTTGCGCAAATAGTCTACAAAGTCCACGACGCGTCCACAGAAGCCAAGAGCCATACCAAACTGCGACGCGGATAACCCAAACGGGAAAACATCTTTCCATTTAAGTTTTTCAGGCTGCTGCGCCATGTGGTTCGGTACGACCGTGCACCCCCTAATCGTTGCTGCGCACACATGCCCACGTACGTTAGGCGCGTTGTAATAAAAAAGAGGACAAAACAAAAACTCACAAGGACATATATATATATATATATATATAAACGTAGATATTTAGGTGAAGGCGCATATGGATGGACAAATGGGTTATCCGCAGATAGAGAATATATTTAAAAGGGGAAGATAAGGCACTCCCCTCCCCCCATCGATGGTGTTTCTACATACACACCGGGAACGTTGGCATTACACACACTCAACCGGTCACCACAGCAGGACACCAATAAATGCGCACCAATCAAAAAACAAAGCAAACCAAAATAATAATAAAAAAATGACTTCATACTGTAGAATTTACACAAACCGATTCGGTGTATCACAGCGCAAAAGACGGCGTCGAACCTCCAATGACACAGCTTCCTGCGCCGTCAAGTTTTTTTCCCACAGTACTTCTACACGAAATAAGGCCCTGTTTGCATTTCCATGCTGGAAGGTGGCCAAACGAATGATTGATAGCTTAGTGAAAAAAAGTCTCCCAGCCTCCTCCATCAGCTGCTCCGGATCTTGTGGTTGGTCGTACCAGTGAAAAGCATTTCTTGTCCTTTTTCCGACTGCCCCAAATGCAGGAAGAGTGATGAACGTTGCCACCTTTGCACTCCTGAGCAGAGAGATGAGAGCACGCTGAAACGATCGCTTTGTCGGAGAGGGCGGAAGGCGGTCAAAAAGGGACACAGCCACCTGGTAATCCGCCATTATGTGAGAATCAGCCATGTTTCCAAGCCAAATCAGTGACATTGTTGAAGACGCACAAAATAAGAGGCGTGGCTTTTCCATCATAGCGCCTGTCTCTTGCATGGAATTCCACCTGGTCTCCATCGCCGCCACTACCTGCTGCGGCGAGTTGCATGCGCTTCGTATCCCGTTCACCTGCAAACAGCTGCTCAGGGCTACACTCGTGACAAATGACTCTGGTAGAAACTTTGCGATGGACAGAGTCATATATCCGTCGTTGGCATCGTACACTAAGATCTGCAGCTGCTCCCCTGGTGCAGATGCCAGACTGTCCTTATCCTCCACACCCGTGTCGTTCAGAGGGGCGCGCAGTGGCACATCCATGCGAATGCTGCAATAAATGTGTGTCCACTCCTTTAAGACAACCAGTCGCTCTTCCCCCCATGGATACAGGAAGGGGGCAGGCTTATTAGACAAGATGGCTTCCATGCGGCGCATGGCCTGCTGCAGCCCCGCGTCGTCCATCTTCCCACGCTGCAGCTCAGGACCGCCGGCGAAGGAAGGAGCAATGGGCAAAGGCCACCGGCCAATGGTGCACGATACAAATACAAACAAGCCTAAGAAAGCAGCCAGCACCAACGCCTTCGCCAAAGGAAAACTGGTGGCCTGCGGTGAGTGCGTGAAGCACACGCCGCCCCTCTCCTTCTGACGCCTCTCTCTCATGATTGGGATACGGCCCAAATCAAGGACGATATAATACGCCCCCCCTGCGCAACTACTTTTATTTCCTCTACCGACTCACTAACAAGCGAAAGAGAGAAAGATAGAGCAATGAGATCCCCCTCCCCCGTGCGAGCATTGGGGCAACGTCTCACGCAAATAAATAAATAAATTTTAAAAAAAAATGCGCCGTGACCCCATCTGCCCACCACCAAACAGACAACACAGCGAGAGAGGGCGTGTGAAGCGAAGCGTTCTGAGAAGAAAATAAAACAACACCAAACCACAAGCCGCCGTAAGTTTTTTCTAGACTCGGATGCAGCACCAACAACAAAAAAAAACGCCAAGCAAAAGCCCAAGCGCGCGCAGTGGCACAATTGAAGGCAAGTAAAAGGAGACATCTTAACAACAATGCCAACGAGAAAAAGAAGATGGGGAAGGAGAAAAGCGTGATGAGTTCAAGGAAACTTTCACCACCACAACAATCCAACAAAAAACATGGAAGTGGGGACCGTGATGCGGAGCCACCACGCCGCCACGTTGGCTTCCTTGTGGGTTTTGTTCTGCAGAAATGACAGAAGAGAAACCAACACGCATCGACTATGAGGGCCTTCGGCATAAGTTGCTCTACCCACCTGCACCTTCCCCCAAGAAACGGTTCCCTTCATTGACGCACAAACACAGGCAATCATCGAGATACGTAACCCCCTCCGGCATGTGGACTCTAAACGACACCAACGTCACAACAATCATCAAGATCAATGGGGTAACTTTCACGGCCTTTTCAACAGGATGAAGCAGACGAAAAAAGAAAAAGAGAGGGGCAAACTTCTTTTGTGGTGGTTGTGTACGCCCCCTTAAAGGTCTGTGCAGCTAATACGAGAGAGTAAAAAGAGTGGCGAAGAGCAAAAAAAGAAATAACGGGGAAAAATGTACCAGACGCTTAAGCCGAACAGAAAACACGTAATAATAATAATAAAAGCGGAAGTATTGGGATGACGCACCCTGTTTCACTGCCGTATTGCAAAACAAACATGTCTCATCATCTTTCGCCCATCAAATTCCTCCGTCTGCGTCCGGCTGTCTTTGTAGTTGGGCCCACGGCATTGCTGCTTTCATGAGGAGTCACACACACGTTTGAATACGTCACCACAAAGAGATAACACGCAGCAATACTCCTCAGCAGGTGCACACTTGCACATAAGCCGTCAGACCACGAGGCTGGTAAAATATAATACGAAGAAAAGAAAGAAACACCCAAAACGAAAAAAAAAGGAAAAAAAAAAAGAAATAGGAAGACTTAGAAGGTATTTACTATATTGTCTATGATGCTGGATGCAATGCAATCCTCTGCTCTGTGAAGTCACTAACGTAGTTAGACCCAACACAAACAAATGACATACGCGTATG